TTTCCGACGTTAGAAATGGTTTATTACTAAATAAAGATGATTGGTTATTAGAGAAGGCTGGAAGAAGCAGCTTGAAGACATGCATGTAGACAAAGAAAGAGATTGTTCCAAGCGTAACACTGCTTACTCTTGCTCAATCACTACCGGAGACCGGCTCTTTGCCGAGTGCCAGGTGATTTGCCGAGTGTTGTTTTTCGGGCACTCGGCAAATCGGCCTTTGCCGAGTGTTTTTTTTTACACTCGGTAAAGAGACTATTTGCCGAGTGTTTTTTTTTAACACTCGGCAAAGAGCCTCTTTGCCGAGTGTTATTTTTTTTACACTCGGCAAAGAAAATTTCAAATCATGTTTTGAAGCAGTAAATTAATTCAAATGAAAAAGTTTTCAACTACAAAGTTGTATAACTCATCAAGATGTACAATGTTTGTTTTGGTCTTTTCTTCATATGACAAAGTGAAAGTAAAATTGTTCACAAATCTTATATCTCTCTCTTGTAGTTTATGAAACTACAAGAGAGATATATAAGATTTGTGAACAATGTTAGAACGACCATGTCGGATGAACAGATGATCAAACAACCAAAATAAACTTTGTAGATCTCGAAAAGTTATGAAACTTTGTAATTGATAACTTTTTGATTTGAAATCATCTTGTCATGCAAAACAGTGTTTGAATTTCAAAATTTTAAAATTCAAATTTTGTAAACGACCTCGGATGGGAAAACTTCCTAAACTAAAAGTGTAGATCTCGAAAAGTTATGAAACTTTGTAGTTTACAACTTTTTTATTTGATTTCGTTTAGGGCCTCAAACATGCAATTTACACTTGGCAAAAAAAAACTTCTTTACCGAGTGTTTTTTTTTGACACTCGGCAAAGAAGCTTCTTTGCCGAGTGTTTTTTTTACACTCGGCAAAGAGCCTCTTTGCCGAGTGTTATTTTTTGACACTCGGCAAAGAAAATTTCAAAGCATATTTTGAAGTAGTAAATTAATTTAAATGAAAAAGTTTTCAACTACAAAGTTGAATAACTCATCAAGATGTACAATGTTTGTTTTGGTCTTTTCTTCATACGACAAAGTGAAAATAAATTTGTTCACAAATCTAGCATATCTCTCTTGTAGTTTATGAAACTACAAGAGAGATATATAAGATTTATGAACAATGTTAGAACGACCATGTCGGATGAACAGATGACCAAACAACCAAAATAAACTTTGTAGATCTCAAAAAGTTATGAAACTTTGTAATTGACAACTTTTTGATTTGAAAACATTTTGTCATGCAAAACTGCATTTGAATTTCAAAATTTTAAAATTCGAACTTTTCAAACGACCTCGGATGAAAAAACAACCAAAATAAACTCTGTAGATCTCGAAAAGTTATGAAACATTGTAGTTGACAACTTTTTATTTGAAAACATCTTGTCATGCAAAACTGCGTTTGAATTTCAAAATTTTAAAATTCAAATTTTGTAAACGACCTCGGATGGAAAAACTTCCTAAACTAAAAGTGTAGATCTCGAAAAGTTATAAAACTTTGTAGTTTACAACTTTTTTATTTGAATTCGTTTAGGGGCTCAAACATACAATTTACACTCGATTTAGTATAATATATTGGGAACTAAAACGCGGAATGCGCATACAAGTGTGAGAGTGTGGTGTAGTGGTAGAGGAGAATACGTGCGTCACGGAGGTCTCGGTTCGAATCGTGTCGACCACGTAGCCATGAAATTCACGCCGAAAAATGTTGGAGATGGGTGGGCGGCGGCGGTTTGGGCCTCCATCGATAAAAAAAAATTCCATTTTTGGGTAAAATTCCCATTTTTTCGGGTTTTTTCGGTTTCAACTTTATTGAGTGTCGGCAGACTCAAAGAAAGGCTTTTTGAGTGCCCGACAAAAGACACTCGGCAAAGACGCCTTTGCCGACAGTTTATTTGCCGAGTGTTCTTTGCCAAGTGTAGTACTCGGCAAAGTCTTTGCCGAGTACAAATTGGGCATTGCCGAGTGTCCAAAGCCACTGATTCCCGTAGTGAATGGGACCATGATGCACCATGCATGGAGCGTCGTCGGCAACACGCGAAAAGTAATAAACAAAACGAACGCAAAAGGGACAAAAGAGGCCGGAAAGGAGGGACCATGATGCACCATGCATGGAGCTTGTCTTGCATTGCACTGTGATCGACTCATCATGCTGCATGCATGCTACTCGATATAGCAAGCGAGTATATATGCCTTGCCCTCATTGCAAGTAGCGCATCGCATGACTTTGCCGTACTATTATATATAGCGCATCACGCAGCCTCTGCATCTTTCTACTTCTACTACGTTGAGGCTACACATTTAGAGCCCCTTTGATGAGATGCATGAATTTTACAGTAACCATATACAAATTTCACAGGAATTAATTTATTTTCATCATAGAATAAACATACGCAACATGAAAAATCTCCCGCATTTCAAAGGAGCTGAGGAAATGAAATAATAATAACAGTAATAACATTAATAGTAGTAGTAGTAGTAGTAGTAATAATAATAATAATAGACAAATCTCTCCTGCGTATTCTAAAAGAAAAAAAAAAGATATGGATAGTCACAGCTACTATTTTTCTATCTATCATGAGTTGCACTTTCACTTGCCAATATATTTGGATAGCGCGGTTACTAGCTTGCTACGCCTGGGTGGGCCTTATTCGGTTAATCCTCTCCCAAGAGAATTGTAGGGGATTGGGAGATTTTAACTCTTGTAAGGGGATTTAATGCCCTTCGCTCCCTTTCAATCTCCTTTAATCACCCTCCAATCTCCACCAAATTGAACAAGGCTGTAAGGGTGTGTGTATAGGTGGAGACAAGGACACTAATATAATCCATACCTAAGACGACTAGTACATAAAATGGAGAGAGTTTACTATTGCACCAAGCGAGATCTTTTTTTTATCTCCGTTCTTATATATATACACTAGTAAACATGTAGAGGTCTTGTTTAGCTGCACTTTAATCCACCCCGATCCACATGGGTTGCCAGAGATTAAGGCGGAAAATTAACTGGATTAAAGTGCAGCCCTTATAGGGGGAAAAAACTTTTGTTAATATCAATGCCTCGAGAACTCATTCTTTCTTAATCATCCTATTTGGTGGTACTGTAAAGTTCCTGTAGAATATGAATGGTCGGTTGTGCTATTCCGATGGTTCAAAAGAGTGACCGATAAGTGGTCATCATCCTACCATTTACAAAATAGACCCTTATTTTTTGATGGTAGAAATAGACCCTTATAAGAGCACCGAAAGTAGAACCAATGCAATTATAATGTACTACTTCTTCTTCTGTTCTAATTGTGAGCCATTTTTAGCTTTTGTCCTATATCAAACTTTTCTAACTTTCACCAAGTTATTAGGAAATATATTCAAATAAATATACTATAAAAAATATATCATGCATGATGTATCTAATAAATTAAATTTTGTTTCATGTTGTAAAGTTTATGTATTTCTGTGGACTTAGTTAGAGTTAGAGAAATTGGATTTAGAAAAAAAAGAGAGACTAAAACCACTTACAATTTGAAACGAAGAGTAGTACTTCACCACTCCATGATTTAATTTACAAAAAAAAAAATAGTGTACCACCATTGCATGCATGCTTAGCTGGTGTGGTCCTTAGCCAGTTTTATTTGTTGCAAGGCTTCCTTGTACAATATCATCTTATACACACTTACTATGATGAAGCTGACGACATATACTATATATATGGCTTTGCTTCCCTCTGATTATACTTCTTTTATATATAAATCACCTCGTGCATGCATGCCTTGTGGTGCACACCGATGTGATATTCTTTTTGTCTGATCACGCTTGTGAGTGGTCCTACATGCTAATAATACTGATTACTTTGATCACTTTCTTCTTTTACTTTTGCAGAGAGAGATAAAAGAATCGAAAGACACTTATTCCATGTGTGTGGAGATCGAGTAGCCGAGATCGATGGACCAGCAGACCACAGCACTCACAAACCAGTAGTAGTATAGTACACACGCACACCACACACTGCAACACCAGCAGGCAAGCATATAGAGGCCGGAATGGCCGTCACATTGCATACTCATACTAGCAGGCTTATACATGCATGTGCATGTGTTGGAGTTTCAGTTTCCTAGCTAGCTTAGTGCACATCAATTTATTTGGAGAGGAGGCGCCAAATTCACCGGCAGCCGGCAGGAAAGAAACTGACAGGTACGGTGCGCGACTTCTCTAGCTAGCTCACATGCATGTGCGTGTTTCCTTATTTTATTTACTCTCCATTGACAAATTAAACAAGTGTTGTTTCGAGTACATTTGTTCATGTCTTGTGGAAACCAAGGATTTTTCGTTTATATAATAAAACGCTAATGAATTGTTCATCATCATAACCTTTTGCGTGTGTTCTTCTAGGTATAAAGTGTGTGCAAACACACAATTGAGTTGAGTATATAAACAAGGTCCTTGATATTTTCTTATAAGAAAATATAAAAAAGACATTCATATACATGCGCGCGCGCACACACACACTCATCTAGATAAATGTACGGATTTAAACTCGAATGGATAGTTTTCACCATAAGTAATCTAATCAGCTGACCTACACTCAACTTGCTCTTTATTTTTATTCTTTATCATGCATTTAATTTGTTTCAAGACAAACTATTAACCAGTGGTATTAAAATTGCATCGTTCTTTGACATGACAAAACCTCAGTCAACTGAGTCGTTCTTGACGTGACAGAATCTCAGTCAACGAAGTAGAATATCATATAGCAAAAATTAAATTCATAGTTAAAAAAATAATTCACAAAGAATTTTTACTTTTTTCTATCGTTAAAAAATGACAAAACTGCATGTTAACTGAACAATAACAAGACATCTGAGATATAAGAGTGAATGAGTAAAGTAGAAACACACTTGCTGCATTGACCAATTGTTGATGAATATGCATGCATGCATGTCCAGCTGGTAGCGGCGGCCGGCGGCAGCGACGATGGGTTTCAACCCTCCGGTGCCGCAGCAGGACAGCGACTGGGAGATCCGTGCAGCGGTGCAGGTGAGCCTGCTCCTCCAGGTGTTCCTCATCTTCGTGGGTCCCATGCGCAAGCGCTCCTCGTCTCCGATACCCCGCTTCACCGTCTGGTCCTGCTACCTCCTCGCCGACTGGGTCGCCGACCTCGCCCTCGGCCTCCTCCTCAACAACATGGGCAACATCAGCGGTGGCGGCGGCAACTCCTCGTCCAGCTTTGGCCTCAAGCGCGGCGGCGGTGGCGGCACCGCTGGCAACAACAACAACGCTAGTAGCGGAAGCAGTAGCCCCATCATCTTCGCGTTCTGGACGCCGTTCCTGCTGCTCCACCTGGGCGGGCCGGACACCATCACCGCCTACTCGCTGGAGGATAACGAGCTGTGGCTCCGCCACCTCATTGGCCTCCTCTTCGAGCTCTTCTCCGCCTGCGTCATCTTCTTCTGCTCCCTTCACGGCAACCCCATGATCCCCGCCACCGTGCTCATGTTCATCGTCGGCATCATCAAGTACGCGGAGCGCACCTACTCCCTCTACTCCGGCAGCGTCGACGGCTTCCGCAACAAGATCCTCGACGACCCGGACCCGGGGCCAAACTACGCGAAGCTCATGACGGAGTTCGACGCCAAGGAGAAGGCCGGCCTGGTCGTCGAGATCGCCATAGCCAATGGTGAGGCCGAGGAGGCACACAAGGAGATGGAGAAGCAAGAGACGATGCGGCTGGTGCAGGACAAGAACAAAAGCGTGGAGGCTCGCGCGTACGAGTTCTTCCTCATCTTCCGGCGGCTCTTCGTCAACGTGATCCTGAGCTTCAAGGAGCGGCGGCTGAGCCAGGCCTTCTTCCTGGAGCGCGATGACATGAAGGGGAGCGAGGCGTTCAAGGTGATCGAGGTGGAGCTCAACTTCATCTACGACATAGTGTACACCAAGGCGCCCGTCGCCTACAGCACGCACGGCTGGGTGCTCCGCGGCATCTGCTCCTGCTGTCTCGTTTCCGCGCTCGTCATCTTCTTCTTCCTCGACAAGCCTGGGCACCAGATCCTGCCCGTCGACGTCGGCATCACGTACGCGCTGCTGCTGGGTGGGCTGGCGCTCGACGTGGCGGCGCTGCTCATGATTTTCTTCTCCAACCGCGCCCAGGTGTACCTGGAGTCGTCCAGGTGGCTCAGGTGGCTGGCGTGGCTGAGGGAGGTCATCAAGCGGTGGCGGGCGCGGCGCTGGTCGGGGAAGACATCGCAGCTGAACCTCATCGAATACTGCCTCGGCAAGCCGGGCAATTACAGTAACAAAGGTGGACGGCGGTGGCTCCACAAGATCGTCGAGAAGATGCACGTCGAGGAGATCGTGGACGACTTCTTCTTCATCCACCGCGTGCCACTACGCGGCAAGAAGCAGCAGGACGACGGCGGCGACAAGCAGGACTCCCCTCCTCTCCTAGATTTCATCTTCAAAGGCCTCAAGCCAGCGGCCGAGATGCTGAAAGCGAAAGGAAAGGGGGACATCATGGAGATGTGCAACTGTCGTGGCAACCGTGTCATCCAGCGCCATGCCACGGAGATCAAGAAGAACATCGAGAATAACGACGAGGTGAAGCACCTTGCCATGGATAAAATCAAGAAGTCCCTCGAGGAGAAGGACGAGGCGAAGCGCCTTAGCATGGACGACATCGACAAGATCAAGGCCGAGGTCGCTACGGAGAAGTTCAGGCTGATCCTGGACAGCGTGGAGCAGAGTGACTTCGACGAATCCCTGCTGCTGTGGCACATCGCCACCGACCTGTGCGGCCTCCAGAACAAGATAACGGCACCAACGGCGGACGAAGATCGGCTGCGACCCATCGGCGAGACCCTGTCGGAGTACATGCTGTACCTGCTCATCAAGCAGCCGGAGATGCTGGCGGCGACGGCGGGCATCGGCCTGCTCCGCTACCGGGACACGTGCGAGGAGGCGCGCCGGTTCTTCGGATCCATGGAGGCGTGGATCGATGACCACGACGACGCGCGCAAGATGCTGCTGAACGTGAACACGTCGGAGAAGCCATCAGTGGTGAAGGGCGACCGGAGCAAGTCGGTGCTGTTCGACGCGGTCATTCTGGCCAAGGAGCTCAGGAAGCTGGACGACTGGCTCATGAGGGAGGTTGTCACGGGGGTGTGGGGGGAGATGCTGACGTACGCGGCGGGCAAGTGCCGGGGCAACATGCACGTCCGGCAGCTCAGCCGCGGCGGCGAGCTCATCACGCTCGTCTGGTTCCTCATGGCGCACATGGGGCTCGGCGACATGTACCAGATCCAGGAGGGAGACGCCAAGGCCAAGCTCATCGTCAAAGACCAGTAGTAGGAAGCAGCTCGCTCATCGTCTATGCATGTTCGTCATTCCCTGTGTGTGTGTGTGTGTGTGTGTGTTTTGTGAATACCTCATGTACCAAGCGTTGAGTATTACCACACTGATTATTTGGCTGTTTGCCTGTCTGTCGCTAGAGTCACCCATCAGCTAGGACCATAATAAAAGTTTTCTTGTTTTATATGCATCCTATTATAGTATTATGCTAAACTAGGAAGGTCTCGCACTATTGGACGGCTATCGAGTATACGGAGTATATGTTGTTCAGCTCTTATGCAGTTTATAGCTTGCACCATCTTCCTTCTGTTCACTCTCATGTCCTTCTCTCAAATCGATGCCTTTATCAGTGTTTATTGTGGCCAAAAGTACTTGTTCCACCATAAACAATATTTGCCCTACTACTACAAAAACCAGATAATACTGCCAGCTACATTACTACAGGTTGTTTTAAAACCACCAGTGATACTCCTAGTTATAAAGGGAAAAGAATATCACCGTCAGATTTCTCAATCAAGCAACAATAATGTTAGTACCACTGCCGAATTCTAACACAAACCGATAGTTATGTAGTTTCTGGAATAAAAAATAAAATGAAATCTAGCTAATCCCAGCCTAAGGTCCGCCCCTCAAACCGGTTAAGTCCGACAGCTCTCAAATCCGATCCGTTGCTCACCTCTGTGACACATATTCTCTCTCCTTGGTGCTCTCCCCTTCTCCTCTTGATCCTAATGGCACGGGCCGGACGACGTGGTGCCGGTGGCTTGGGGTCATGGTGCTCGGCGATGCGGGTCTGGTGGTGCGAGGCCGACAACCACTGGTGATAGAGTTGATTATCAGTGCTGATTTTTACCATCGAAGTCCAAAACTGACAGTAATAGAGGGTTTAGAGCTGTCGTGAGGATTTTTTAAATCCGACAAGTAGATCAATGTTTTGTGCGAGGAATTAGAGGCGTAGTACATGGTTTAGGTACGCGATAACTTATGTCTAGTAGAGAATGCTTCTCTTGCAAAGTGCCCTTGGGTTTATAGGGGCGCTGATGAGTTTGTCGAGGGTTCTAAGCTATGGGTTGTCTAGATGGCGAATGAGATGTGCCTTACATCCCCTTATATAGTCAAGGGGTAGGGTTTACTGGAGGAATACCGATCAATCTATATCTACAGTTTCCTAGTTTATTACAAGGAATCTAATGTATTTGAGTGGATCATCCTGCTTTACTTAGCATTTAAGCTTATTTAGTCTATATCTTGTCTTCCAAGCAGTCGATACACTCTATCCGGCTTGGGCCTCTTTGTTAGCAAGCTTGGTCCACCCCATCCTAGTCGGGCTTACCCTCATGGACAGGGGGATCATCCCCGATCCCACCAGACCCAATGGGATTTTTTTTAAATTTTAACCCTTTTTTGAATATAATTTTAAATCTAACACTATCGGTTTTTTTAAAACTAACACTTTTGGCCGTGCCTATTGCCCTAGCGCGGCCAAATGCCTGTGCCGCGCCATGCATGGTGGCGCGGCAGAGGGTTGACGTGGCGAGGGCCGGCCTAGGGGACCGCTGACGTGGCAGGTCCTGCCGCGCCACCGACCTTGGCGCGGCAGGACCATATATATACCGCATGCGAGCCCGCCCGCCCGCACGCACCCTGCCCTGCCCGCTCGCCCGAATGCCGCCACCGCCGCCACCACCGCCAACACCACCACACGCCACAAGACGCGCCTGCCTCGCCTCGCCTCGCCCGCCCATGCCCCGCCTGCGCCCGGCCTCGGCCGCTTACGCCCATACCGCGCCCGGCTCCCCAGCAGCGCCCTAGCCCGGCAGCGCCATGCCATGAAGCACGATTAGTTAGAGGGAATGTGTGGCGCAAGTACAGGGAGTACACGGACAGTCTCGACGTCCTGACACAACACCAGGTTAGGCTCTCTATACTATCATTGCATTATTCCGCTTCGATGTACAGTATATCACAACCTAACACAATTACGAAATTTCAGGTGTTTTGGTGTCCTTGGGATTCTCCTGAGCTCCAGGGCTACCTGAGTCCTGTCACTAGGGACGAGTCACACGAGTATCGCTGCGAGGTCCCTCTTATTTTCTTCCATGTGGTCGAGATTCACTTGCCTATCTGGGTCTGCAGACAGTTTGGAAGAATGACAGCCTGCCCACCACCGCTTTACTCCACCAACCAAGAATTGTACGGGTGCGTTATCGATTAATAACAATGCTACAATTCAGAGGTGTGTTTGGTACAACTAACATCGTTTTGTTGCAGGTTTGACCGCAGGAAGAGGTACAAGACCAAGGATTGGCGTATGACACAAATTGCTCACATCCATTTGTGGCAGACCAGGGTACCACATGCGGTCCTTGCGGGTCCTCCACACAACCAGCACACCTTCGACGAGTACCTGTGGTGGCTTCACAGGTCTACGAGGACACATGTCAAGCCCCAGTACACTGACGTGGCGATTGACGAGGACTCAGAGGAAGATGTCATCGAAGATGTGTACAACGCTACCACTAGGGAGGACACACAGCTATAGAGAGCCCCGCTTCAAAGATACGTGGTAAGATACTTGAATGGTACAATTTATTATCCTTTTGGTTTTAAGTAAGTGTAATAAAACTGTCTAACCACGTTTCTGTACCCAGGCGACACAATTATCAAGGCTGTCCAACGAAGCAGCGTTCCGGCTTCACGAGTCTAGAGGGCAGGGGCCAGGCGTTGTCCAGGCTTTTGTGGAGGTAAATATAAACTTGTCCGTTTCGAAAATATTTCTTTAGTGTATATGCGTTTGTGTAATGAACTAACTTTAACGTCTATTTATGCAGAAGGTGAAGAAGAGCTGCAGGAAGCTAGCTCAGAAGCTGAGCTGCATGGACACTCCTTATGAGGAACCGCCACTCCCGGCGTGGTCGGGTGGCACGTCTTCAGCCTCTTTGAGGACACCAGCCAGCTCTTCTCAGCCGATGACAGGTGCCACTTCCGCGGTGCGTACACTACCACATCATAGCGCTGGGAAGGACCCTGCAATCGAGGACGAGGAGGAGGACGATGACGACGACGACGAACCCCCGGGCTTCCGCGGACAGCACGACCAGTGGGACGAATGGCCGCAGGACGAGATCGACATATCTCAGCTAGGTGATGCCCCACTTGGCACCCAAGGAGCCTCACAGGTACTAACAAAGATAGTTTGTTTCAATATGTAGGCTCCATGAACTAACGATCATAAGTAATCGTGCGTATCATATACCTGCAGGGTACGAGCCGTACGCACCGTTGACGCGACCATACCGACGTTGGCTACACTCTCAATGTGTTGCCAACAAATCCGAAGAGACAGAGGCATCCGAGGGATTCTTACACTCCTGGGTCTTAGTTTGTTAGGTCAAATGAATATTGCCATCCGAAACTTACGTGGTTATTTGGTTATGTTATCTCAAACTTATGTCAAAACAATGAATATGTTATGTGGCAGCTTGTCAACTTGCTTCTTATTCGTTTCTTTGAGTCGCGGCAGCACTGCCGGCGAGATTAAGTACCAACTAGTTCGGGAACCGACAGTCCCGGCGGCAATTTTTCGTAATCGATTAGTTTAAATGGTGCATAACCGTATTATGAAAGACGAAAAACTTATCATTGGCTTATCGAATTTTTTATTCGGCCGTGAAAAAAAACTCAACAAGATATGTGTGCGACGCGTTTCGATTCAACCATCTAGGTACTCCGTGCGGGCAGCAGGCGCAGCGGCCAGGTGGTGTGGCTGCGCGGGCGGTATATATATGGTCTGCCGCCACGCCACGATCGGTAGCGACAACCGCCGCGCCAAGGTCGGTGGCGCGGCAGAGCTGCCACGCCGGCCGTCCCCAAAGCCGCCCTTCCACGTCAGCCCTCTGCCAGCCACCATGCATGGCGCGACAGCATTTGGCCGCGCCAGGGCAACAGGGGCGGCCAAAAGTGTTAGTATTAAAAAACCCGACAGTGTTAGATTTAAAATTATATTCAAAAAAGGTTAAAATTAAAAAAAAAATCCCAATGGAGAGGGACTTTTTCCATTTGCGGCGGGGAAGTGTGTTAGCCCCATCCCTGATCTCCAACGAAGGAATTCCCCATGGGTAATCAGGGAATGGGTCCGCATTGTCATATCTATCTCTCTGTGTGTTATATGCATGTCCAAACACATGGTTTATAACCAGAAGCGATGATGGTAACTGGATTGGACAGTGAAGAACAGAGTAACCGGTGGTAGGTGGATCCAGCGGCACCAGAACATTGCTGTCGTGCTACCGCTGGGTTGTGGATTCACGCGACGCAGCTATCCCTACTATCATTGCCAGTTCATGGTTTAACCCGATAGTGACAGGGGATTTCACCGTTGAGTTAATAGGATGCCCAATCTTTATCCGGACTATTCTTGGCTTATTACCCAGTAGTGAATGAAACAAACATTACTGTTGGGTCATGCACACCCGACAGTGATTGTGGGTTCTGCAAAAGTTTTACCAAGACACGAGTGCGGATTGGAGGCGTGGTGCATGGTTAATTCTTTGTTTTTTCGAAATCTACAGCTAAAGAGAGATATCTCAATTCATGTCATAGATAGTCCTGGGGGTATTTCCGCCGATGGACAGTACACAGCCACAATGAAATATGCTAGCTGCTTAGCTTGCGCAACAGTTAAAGGATATGCATGCATGCACTCGTACGCATGGTGTGCGTGGTCGCCACTTTGATGTGTATGCATGCATGCATCATGTTCGTCTGTGTGCCTTGCTCTCCTTGCAATGCAATTGAAAGCACCGGCCGGATAGAGTAGATCACGTGATGGATCGAACTTGATGCCTGCTGTCTTCCCCTGGGTAGCCAGCTAGTTTCTATATATTCAGCTTCTTCTTTTTTGTCTTGTCGATCTGTTACGTACATAATTGTGATGTGTGAAGGACAAATTAGTAGCGAAAGAAGCTTGTTGATGCACTTTAGTACGTGCCGGCCCT